TATTTTGTATTTATTTTTCCTTTTTGATGGAAAACAGGTGCCATTAGTGCCTACTTTCTTCCTGAATGGTTCAGCAGTAATTTTGGTGATTTTGGCCAATGTGATTTTATTATTTTGTGTGTTGAGAACAAGTGTGAGTGATGCTCTGTAAGTGTTTGTCCTATGGTAGCATCCAGCCTGGAGGTTCCTGACTTTGGCGACCTTCATGGACACTGGATCATGAGCACAGTGCGCCCACTGACCTCTCTAAGAAAATAAGCTGTAACAAAATACAACAATTGAACCAAAGAGATTTCATCACATACATTGCCAACGCAATGTAAAGTCTTAATTGTTGTACATATAACGCACAATTAATGCAAATTCAGGGGTGAAATGATGAAAGTTAGAAGCACATGACATTTCAGGAGCTCGATGAAAATCTCCATTAATGGACATCTTTTTGATGAGGTAATTAGCAGGCAAATATGTTTTATATTCAGGTCTGGAAAGGACCTAGAATGTAAAATATAGTGATGGTGTTCCGGTTAAATAACCTGGTTAAGTTTAAGTAGGTTAAACATTCAGTGTTGGTTTTGGTGTTAGATCAGTGTTTATACTGGGTTAAACTTGCAAAATCTTGTCACAGTACCTCATTTTCAAAGCATCTTTATTGGGTTGAAACTGGTAGATTTCAATATCATCCAAAGCTGGTAACCCATACGTCACGTAACTGTTGTTGAAATAAGTTTTGTGTACAGCAGGATCTGCGTTTGAGCCCAAAACCCAATTGACTTCTCTAAGCTCCGCCCACAAAGGTGTTCTTTCGAAGCTACTATTCTGAGGTTGGACAAGCTTTACAGAACACAGGTAAAAAAAAACTGTAGACTCAGTTTATATCACAATACCCACGTTTAGAGTCGGTTATTCATTCAACCTAATGAGAAACTGTAGAACAGCCTCAGTTTATATCACAATACCTACATTTAGAGTCGGTTATTCATTCAACCTAATGAGAAACTGTAGCAATCGCTGATTTCAGGGATGCACTTATACGGGAATTGTGGGCAGATGCCAATATCGGCTATTTTAATGTACGTATCTGCCGATGTTGATACATAAACGTTTATAAACTGTAGAAATTTAGCATTACAGAGAAATATATTATCAATTTCTATAGGGCTACAAATGCAGTAAAATGAAGAAAATGGAGATATTTCAGTGCAGTACTCCAGCGTCACCTAAACACTCTGCTCTTCTGGAGTTCAGTAAATACATTAAAAATATAAATGTAATATAAAATATCAGTTTATTGTTTAAATCTAAACCGGCCTCCCTGAGGGGAGATACACAGATGATTCTGATATCATCCCTAAAAATAACGCTACGCTACTGAGCTGGACTGTGTTGTAGTATCTAATTAAAACTAGGGCTACGTTCACATTACAAGCCTCGTTGCTCAAATCCGATTTTTTTGGTCAAATCTGATCTCTCTGACTCGATGGTTCACGCTCGTTTAGGTAAGTGATTCAAATCTGTCATTAATGTGATGAATCGGCATCCTGAAATGACCCTAATGAGCTCATCCTACTCAGTAACGTCACGTGAATGAATCACGTTCATCATCAGCACAAACTAACGAGCAGAACGAGCTTCGCTGAGAAGATAATTAACTCTGATCAGCTCTCAGCTTCATTATTAGAGCGAGACGAAGGTGAAAAAGGTGAGATGAGCTGCTTTTCCACCGTTTACAGGCTTTAACTGCTGTTCGGCGCTGCTGCCATGGTAATGCTGAATGATGGCACAGTGCAGTGGCTCAGGTCAGATTTGAAGAGATCAGATTTGTGTCCACACAGCTCTGAAAACACCACATCTGAGTCACATTAGGGCAAAAAATCAGATTTGTGCCACTTCAGCCTGGTAATGTGAACGTAGCCTAGGAGAACCACAACAACAAGTTAGCCACCATGCTAACATTAGCGCAATTAAACACACCAAAAAACGCGTTCAACAGTGTGACGTTTCAGTCATACACAGAATCATCATTAGAAATGAATAAGACTGTAAATGTACGTTTTTAAAATGGGAAATTTTAACTGCGCTCTTTAAAGCTCGTCCAAACTAAGAGCACGTCTGTGGGCGGAGTCTGGACAGGCCGATTGTTGTAGTAATAAAGATTCTTCTTTGAGAAAAGTTTAAGAATCTAAGAACTCTAAGTTTTTTACGTGCCTTAAATGTATTAAAGTGCCTGGCAGGTAAATAAATGGTCCTCAAGCTACTCAGTTACGCTTTCTCATAAAACATTCTGTCACGAAGCCTAAAGCAGTATGAATTATGATGTGCCCGTTGTCGAAATGATGTTGGATGTTTATATGTACAGTGCATCCTGAAAAATACATTTGCATATATTTTTTTAAACACACATTGTCCTGACACGTTGCCTGTTGCTATGCTGTAAACTTTTGTTTTGAAAGATTTTGTGTCTTTTCATTAAATCAAACACTGAAACATTGATGAGCTGCATTGTATTCGTTATTATTGTGCCTGCCGTGCACCTTGAATTCGGCCTCTGTGCTTTCGCGTTGGTCAATAACAATTCAATTTGCGTTTGGAAAGAGAAAAAAATGCCAGGTGTAATTGACAGTTCTGATTAATAGTGTCTCTTTCCATGAAACAAACAAAAGCTGAGAGCCCTGGAGCTCAGATAGAGCAGCGAGATGTGCTTCTACTGCCGTTTGCAGAATGACAAAAAGAGCACAATATTTCTGTACTACATTCTTCAGTATGTGTTTGTTGAGATTATAAAAGACCGAATTTGTCAGTAATGTTTTAACTTATAAGAAACTTCATTTATTTATTTAAAACTGTCATTAAGTACAATTTATTCATTTTTTCAGGAGATATTTGTGAGTATATTTGATATAACATAATCCACCTGCATAAGGATGGAGAAAGTCAAAGTGAAAAATACAGAAGTTTCCAAAACTGGAGTTCAGAAAATGATTAAAAGCTACAGAGAAATGAGGCTCCTAACAACCACCTGGAAGACCTGGTAGACCCCAAAACTGCCCCCATCAGATAAACAGCACTTAAAGCTCTCATCTCTGAGAGAGAGGAGAAAATCAAGCTGCTTCAGATCTGAAAACATCCACAGGTGTTTCTGTCCATCCTTCCACTGTGAGAAGACGACTCAGCGCTGTGGGTCTGAAAGGATGTGTAGCTGTCAAGAAGAACCTCACTGAGAAAAGGAGACGGACACATCAAACAAAGAAGCTGAACGATGGACTGACCACCCCAGAGTCCAGACCTCAACACCACTGAATGTGTTTGATTACTTCAGAAAATGATCAACCAGCTTCTAAGACTGAACTTTGGAGGTGTGTCTGCAGATTCTTTGAGGAACTGAAAGTGAGTCCCCTGAAAAGAATGGAAGCTGGAATAAAGGTGAAGAGTGACACACTAAACACTCAGACAGCTGAGAGTAGAGTTAGCTGTTGAGGCTTTCGTGTAATTTAAAGCATTTTAAAATACCACTCAGAATATTAAATTAATATTACAGCTTATTACCTTTCCAAATGAATGACTATATCCATGGTATACACCTCAACAGGAAACAAGTCATTTACATGATGGATAAGCGGTAGAGAGTCCCGTCCGCAGACAGACTTCTCTCTATGTTTCTCCATGAGTCCAAGTCAAAGTCCTTGGTTCACTGGTGCATGAGTCAAAGTTGAGTCGTAAGGTTTTTTTTTATTTTGTCAAATTGAGTCATCAAAACTGGAGTCCACAGGGCCACCGGAACCACGGTGGCGAGAGAGCATTTGACCCACCACTTTTGATAGTACTGTGGCGACGCCCCACGACTTTCTCAGTTCAGGACACCACAGAAAAACCTCTGCTTTCCCTAAACTGTTTCCCACTGTTGTCGAAAGAAAACCTCACATCTCTCTTTTTTTTAGCTTTTATTACATTATTAAATGTAATTTTGTCATCTCAATAAAATAAACATGAACTTGAACTTGAGAGAAATATCTAGTCAGATATATATATGTGAGTGTCAGTCACACCAGGACAGTGAGTGACCACCAAAACACAACCTTTTCTTTTACTCACCGTCATATATGTATACATGTAATGTAGTTTATTATATATATAATTGCTGCAATACTTTCTCATATAAATGTAACTTTGTCATGTCAATAAACATTAACTTTATTTCCCCCGAAAAATGGTAAGGTAGGTTTTTTCCTTCTCCTGTAAAGTTACCATTTTGGAGATATGAGGGTCCGACAGCAGCGACATGTTGTAATCACATGGTTATAAACAGGGCCGCCGGAACCACAGTGGCGAGCGGGCATTTGACCCAACAATTTTCAGGACGTTCATATAAAAACCTCTGCTTTCCCTAAACGGACTGACCAGCACAGACAGCCAGAGTAAAACTGAGCGGCAGAGCCAATTAGAATCTCCATTTCAGCTGGGAGGCGCTTTCAGACCTGCCTTCAGTTCGGCTTTGACATGCGACTCCACCCGTATTCAGGCAGCACCAGAGCGCGTTTCTGCTGTACCGTCTGCACAACCAGCCGCTTTAACACTTCACTCTTTACAGACACTCATACCGTTCCTGCACTGCGAGATGCTGTAAACAACGAGAGACAAGCAATAAAATAATAATATGTGTTTGAATATTGATCGTGGAGCATGTTTTTGGCATCATCAGCGACCTGATCGGTTAAACTTAATTTGGTATTCACAAAGATGATCAGCATCTCTGTTTTCATGGTGGTGAATGTGAGAGTAACAGAGCACTTATATTCCTGCAAAACGTCTGATCAATAAACAAACACCACATGTGTAATTTAGTCCACTTAAGCCCTGACAGTCTGTAACCTAGTATATAAGGAAAACCTCAACCACACAACAAAAGAAGAAACAGAGAGCTTTATGTGGGTCAGGTAGCAATATATACTACCTCACTGTCTGAATGTCAAAATGTATCAGGCCAGTCTGTACAGTAACAGTAAGTTACTTTTTCTTTTTTTTATTAAAATGTTGCAAAATGCATCAGTGAGTTTACATTCATTGAACAAGATAATTCAACAGTAAATTAAAAGACTGAATGTTCACTATAAAGCTAATCTGGTTATTACTCAGTGTTTAACATGTATGTGTAGCCCAGTGGTGCTTTTCTTTTAGTTCTGTATCCAGTCCTGAATAGTGTCAAAAAATGGCATCCCCTCTTGGAACCTTCTGAACACGAAATCCTCACCAGTCCAGCCGTCTGCCATCAGCAAGCAGCCAGCATCATGAGCACAGAAGAGCAGTCCTGTAAAACCTCCACCCATCACAGAGTTGAAGTGTAAAAGAGTCTGAAGGAGTGAAATTAAGCATTTTGGAGCTCAAACAAAGCAACTCCAGCAGCCACGATGCTACGTTCACAACAAGTGTTGCTGTGCCCTGCAAGTCTGGTACACATTTCAACTGGACTCCTTTACATGACCAATCATCTCACAAAACTCATTATTACAATAAAGCTTGCAATACAGATGTCACTTAACTTTCATTGGCTTAAAACTACATCAAGCAGTGTGCAAAACAGTAAACTTTGAATGTACATTCTCACATTTTTTTTTTCAATTTCTTTTCAAGTTTCTCCAAAAAATACACATTGCCCAAATAAACGCAAGAGTGATAACCAAGAAACACCCATAAGCTCACAAATAAAACCGTGCATTACCCATATAACATGTAACTTTTTTAAAAATAGGCACATTTTAGCTAGCAGCTTAGCCTAAACAAAAAAAAGAAAAAATATTTGTATAAAAATTAAACCTGCTATAACAATATTCTTTTTTTCCTCCCCTTTGGTTGGTTACAAGTCCACCATCTGACTCAAAGGAAAGAGATACATTATCACAAAAAAACAAACTGTGGGTCGGACTTTAGAAAATGAACTGGGCATTAAAACAGCCTGATGTTCTTCAGAGATGTTCACTAACAAATCCTGCTATGTGAGGCTGCAGCTACTGAAGCAGCATCAAAACTAACACTGACACTGTTCATGATTAGGTTAAGAGGAAGGTAGAGCAGCCTAAATCGATACTCAAATAAAAGTTTTGATACTTGCATAAAATATTTACACAAGTAAAGAACCTTCCCCAAACCAGTGAGTGGAAATACAAACGTAGCAGGTTGAAAATCTACTTCAGTACTCTGTCCTGCAGTGGAACCTCTACTACATCCAGCATTTATCAGCACAGGAACTGGAGACTGTGTGACTCTGTTCTTCTTTTTTTTGGATTCTTTTGGTCTAAAATACAAAGTCAGAGATGTAACCAATCACAAAGCAGTAGAAATATCACTACAAATATCGAAACAAAGTGACATTAAACACATATTAAAATCTAAATGTGAATGGCTAAAATGTAACTGAGTAAAAAGATTCCGTAACTCACTAATATACTGTACTTTATCAGAAGTTAAGGTACTCAAAAATACTACAAAAATAAAGTACTAAGTACTAAAAGAATACTCAGGAGAGTAAATCCATCAATATTTTAGTAATGTAATTATTTACTACCCACCTCTCAGTAGGTTTATAAAGACAGTCATTAGCAAGACATGAAATGCAATTTTAGTCATTGGTCTAATTGCATTTCATCACTCAGCCACTTTTTTTTTAAACAATGTTAAACCACTTTTCGAAGTGTGGTGCCACCCCTGGGAGACCAAGTCATGTGACCCAAGTGTTCATTGCTGGTATACAGTATCACACAAAATCATTACATAGCAAAGAACTTCTGATTTCAGATATAATAGCAATATTTGGGAAATTCACTTGAAGCTCTGAGTCTGTGGAAAGTGTCCAGTCTCACAAACACAAATAAGAGTTTATACACACAGCTTTTACTTGTGCTTTTTTGGTCAGAATTGAAAGAAAAGAATTATTTTCCCCAAAACTTTATTGTTCAAAACACATGATTTACTTCAACAAAAAAAAAATGCCAAAGTTAGAGCACTTGTACTTGGAAAGAAGGAATGGATCAGTAGCCAGCAGCCACGCCCAGCTTCCGAGCATCTGAATAAGCGTAGATGGTGCCGTTATGCTTTGATATAGCGTTGACCACATTATAGAAGCGCTTGGTGTACTTAACTGTGTTTTTAAGCTTTTTAAGCGCCTCTTTGACTTCCTGTAAGAGAGAGAATGAACACAGTCATCAACATTCGCAGGCAAGAACTGTGAATCAAGCTGCACTGCAAAAAATGGTATCTAGTCAAGTGAAATGATGTGAAATCTAGTCAATATATCTAACATTTGCCATTTGACATGGTTGTGCACTTATTTTAAGATTATCTAGCTTTTTTCCTGAATTTTCTTACTTGTTTTAGGTCATTTTTTGAATAAAATTATCCTACTATACTGGCAGATAATTTCTTAAAACAAGCAAAATTATCTTCCAATATAGTTAGATTTTTTAACTTAATAAAGTTATTTAAAGTAAAAATGTCTAGAAATAAGGTAAATTATCCTAAAGTAAGCTTACAACAATCTCAGCAGGATTTCTCAACTATATTTAAGGTAATTTTGCTTAACAAGACACATTTGTTGCAGTGTGAGTGGTTTTCTTACCTTGTCAAACTTGGGCTCGAACTTGAGCGCATTACTGCCGTCCACGAACACAACAGCTTCAGCGATGGAGTCGTTCAGACTCTTTCCAAACCACAGGTAGTTCATGAGAGCCTGAATAGGTCACAACAGCATCTTCACTGATCAGAAATACACCACAGCTCTCAGTTCTCGACACTTTACAGCGTAAGAGTTTATAGCTCTGCTCGACAGATCAATGTAATTAACCCATTTCTGGACCCGAACTCACCATGGTCACCCCGGTGGTGATCATGGTGCCCCCTGACGCTCCGATAACTATAATTTCGTCTGTCTTTGTGGAGCGAAGGATCATTGGAGCCATGGAGGAGGGAGGACGTTCACCTACACACACAAACACAAAAGCATACAGTGTTTAATAGAGAAGGAATTTCTGGGTTACTACAGTAACTGATACTTAACACCTTGTTGTGATATTATCACCAATAATGTAATATTGCTTTGAAATTTAAAGCAGGTTCACACTGTGACCTGTATATGAAGACTCTAAGACATTATACATGTAAGCAGGCAAGGTGGGAGGGTGCATATGCAAATTAGTAGAAGGTTTATTGAGGTCTGGGTTAAAATCAGAGCAGATACAGATACAGAGATACAGATATAAGTAAGCAAAGAGCCACAAAACCAAAAACACGACAGAGAACAAACAGAAACAATCATGAAAAAGCGTTCTTCTATTGTTACAATGACAAGTTGTAACAAGAGCAGAACCCTTTTGGTGCTATCTAGAACCCTTTTCAAAAAGGTTCTGTATAGAACCATGTACAGAGCGCATTTATTATCAGTCTGAAGAACAATTTCACCATGCAAAGAACCCTTTAACCCCTTAAATGGCCAGGGCCCACCACTTTTCCATTAAACTAGATGATATTTAGGTTTTGGTATGAATTTCTGTTATTCACAATTAATGAAAAATGCAGAACTGGTTATAATGTTCTTTTTTTATAAAGCAGTACTGCTGGGTAGGAAAAAAGGCGGTTTAAACTTTTAATTTTAACTTAAAGAGTAGTTCCACCCTAAGACCTTTTTTCTCATTAACAGCTGAAATGCTCTGCTTTGTAATAATAAAATATATCAGCTTTGCCTAAAATGTGAACACATCTTTACAAACTGTAAAAGTATCATTTTTATCATGGTCAGTTGCACCTCTGCAGCGCCCCCTCTGGTTCAACTCTGCTATAGAAGTACAATGTACGTACCAAAGTATGATGACACATCACAGCATGCAAATCAGTCAAACAACGGTACCGCCCCCTGATGTTACTGCGCTGAGCTAAACACCCCCAGCACCTCCTCACAGGGCTGCGATCTGCCAGCTGTCTGTACCAGCTGCACATAACCCAGTTAATCTGAGCTCAGTCTGTAATAAAGGTGTTGGACTGATTAGGTGAGGATTCTTTCGAGTCTCCATAAAGCTGCCGGTGTTGCATCCGATTGACGTTTCCCTTCACAACTCAGACCCTCAGGCTCGACTTACTGAACAGACATCAACGACAACACTGGAACTACAGAAAGCGAAACAGTTCAGGAAAGGTCAACATTAAATGTCTGATTGTGTCAACCTTTCGTCCGTACAGCCTTTCTCTGACTTTTTCCCGCTTTCCGTAGTTCCAGTGTTGCTTGCCGTTGATTTCTTTTCAGTGATTGCGGTGCTGATGGTTCGATTTAAAAAGGGGAACGTGAGTTTGAGTGGGAACTGAATCGGATGTAACACCAGTAAGTGCCATGAACAGCTTGCAGAGTGTAAGGATTGCACAGGAGCGCATCGGAGGGGTAAGGGGCTCGATCCCCTGCCCCTTTTGTCTTAAAATAAAGAGTACTTTTTTGATAAGCTGTGTAAAACGAAAAAAGAAAAAAATTGCTGTGAGAGTGACTACTACGTTTGATGAATGCCAGCGGACAACAGTGTTTACAAACCTGGTGGAGCTAGTTTAAACAGGCCTGATACAGCTGGTAAAATTAATAACAGTATAATGTATAATTTTCAGGTGTTACGCTTAAGTGTGTCAGTGGAGGATGACCACAGGGTCAGCAGCCTCTCTTTCCCTCTTCACTCAGGTGCTCACGGCAGCTTGTGCACCTTTAAAAGGAGCAGAGACGGAACAGAGAGAGAGGAGAGAGGGACGAGCAGCAGCAGAAGAAAAAGACTGACGAGCTGAAAAGCTGTGCTGCAGCGACAAACTTTTTTTGGGAAAAATCAGGGATGGACATCACTGTCTTATGGGAACATCTGCAGCAGGTATATATACTATAGACAGGTAACGTACCAGTGTGAGTCTGGTTGGTTCTGTCACAAAAATCTGCAAGTTGATTGTTCAGGATGACGCCTGTCTGGGGCGAAAACTCTGCACAGCCAAACCTGACAGGAAAATGAATAAAGGTCAGTAATGATTAGTGCCTCTGGTCACTAATAGGTTCATTCATATATTGCCTAGACTGCACCATAGAGTAGATCTGCTCACAAGTAGTTGATGGAGCTGGTGACGGACACAGCCATGCCATCCTCGTCCAGCACAGACACATGAGAGGTGCCCTGTGTGTCCACTTCAGGAGCGACGCTGTAGTACTGGGCATCGTGGGTTTGGTCATCTGTGATCTTCTTCCTAATGCGGTCAGCAAACTCCTTTCTAGTTATAGCATATGCCTTCTGTTCAACACACACAGAGGCACGCAAGCTGGTGATAGTGTCCAGCACTGAGGATGGGTTTAAACAACAGGACATCAGCAAACGTGATCAGTGAACCACTTTTGATCAGTCAGACAGAAAACCCAGAGTTTGATCATGAAATAGACAATTTTAGTATACATTAAAGCAGATGAGCATCAGCATGAGGGTCTGATTACAGTAACATCTTAACACTGAAATCTGTTCAGCCTCCATGACGACTTCAGCAGTGAGTGAATTTCGGACAGAAGCTGTTCCAGTATAACAGTTCCTAACTTCATAATCTCATCATGAACTCCAGATAAGAAAACAGCATCACACAAACATCCTAACTAGACTAAACCTCCTAAATCCTGTCCTAACTTTAGGATGAACCCCAACAGGGTCCTCACTTCTGTTTAAGGTCCGTTTCTATGGTTTTTAGGCAGCTGAGTCAGCAGCATAGTTCACTACCAGCATAATGAGCTCCATTTATTTCTACTGTAAAACGCTGCTTTCACTGTGAGATGATTTTCTTTTCTAACTCTGCGTTTTAAAGATCTCAGACGCTGCAGACTCGATCTCCACCGCCCCTCTGATCACCTTCGTGTGTTAATGTTGATGATGAAATATTACAGTGATGGTGGTGAATAATGAGGAGACGGAGCTGAACGTGTGTCTGTTTATTAGGAGGAGTAACGTTAGCGCGCTCGGCTAAAGCGTTTGGGAAATGGAGACTGAAACTGGGGAGCGGCGACGCTCTGATAAACAGCAGGGGGCACTCTCACAGTATTCACTACTTACAGTTTATCACACTTTAGCTGTGTTTGACCTTTTTAACATCAGTAACAGAAGCTGTCTGGTTTTACTTCAGCTGTGTGTTCATGGTTGGTTACTAGGAAACAACATGATAGCCGATTGTTGACTTCAATCGACTATGTTAAGATGCTTTAACTGGAGATTATGATGCTGTAAATTAACTTACAGTAACTAACATTTGCTATTATGACAAATTTGCACGCTGCTGAAACACAATTACAGAAACGTCTTATCTTTTTGTCCTAAGTTAAGATCTAACAGGTCAAGATAACATTTGTTTCTGTGATACAAATTTGTGAAAAATGTTATGTTGCTGTGAGAGAAGGAGATATGAAGGAGAAAAACATATGAAGTTTCTGTGACAGAGGTCAATATTGCTTGACAATGTAATGTTACATTGAGAAACACATTACTGTATAGTTCCGTGTGTAAATAAATCAGGCATCTCATCCAAGGACCTACCGTTACATTGTTGAATCTGGGGTCTTTCATTAACTTCCTCTGTGCATTAGCAAATTTAGAGGCCTCTACGTAGCGATGGTAGGTCAGCACACGCTCTTTTCCTTCTAGAGAGGCTGGATTTAGGTTGTAGCCTGGAGAACACACAGAACATCACCGTGACAATACTTCAGACAAAATAGAACTGTCTGGTGAAAATCATCAGTCCATCAACTGAAAATCAGATCAGTTAGTAACACAGTTCTCTCACCTTCCATAACATTGAGGATGAAGCTGACCACTGAGGCCCCTGAAGGCGGAGGGGGGAAGTACATGGTATAATCGCCCAGAGACACTTTCCAGGGTTCCAACTCAGACACCTCAACTGATCTCAGATCCTCCAGAGTGATACTACCACCTTAATCACACAACATAACACACAGTTTAGCACACAGGTTTGTGGAGCTGTCAGATGTAGCCTGAGAGCTGAAGAGCTGAAACAGGTACTACACTGTTAGAAATAAAGGTTCTGTTCAGGTACATTTTTAGTTCATCAAGGTAAAAACAATGTAAATGTTCCCTCAAAGCTCCAACAGTGGTTCTAAGGTCTGATTGTGAACCTTAAATAAGTTTTTCCAGGTGAAAAGTTCGTATTTGTACCTTTTCATAACCGAATGTTTTAAAACAGAACAGTAAAATAAAAGCCTGGAGACGAGACGGGGTGTGTGGAGTCAGTACAGCTTAGAACATATCATTTCAGTGGATTATGGTTCAGTTATGTTCCCTGACTAAAGGTACTGAGATGGACCCTTGAGGGTTCCACCCCAGTGACAAGAGGGGAACTGCCCCAGTGATGGTTTCATATCTTTATTTCTGAGAGTGTAGCGTGATTAAAATATTACACTCCTGTGCAAAAAATGTGCCAAGCCCAAAATGTGATGTTTGTTACTGGTGGTTTTGGCCAGTCCAGATTTAAACAGAATAACTAAACAAGCTTGGCGATGTTTTTCAGCTGTTTGAAGCCGTCAATGCTGAAAGGATCAATACTGACTCTTCTATCTGTAAAAGGTGCAACTATCCAAGTGTTGGCTCTATCATCAGAGTTCCCTGCTGATGCTACAGCATCCATAGTCCACAACAGCACACTCTCTCTCTGGGTGGGCAGGATGGCCCCCCGTCTCCCCCATCACTCAGAGCAGTGTTAGCCAGTGCAGGTGCCTGTTAGCTGACGTAACAGAACTGGTGGTTAGTGTTCTCCTCCAAACACGTTCATCTGTCCAATGACATTGCATTGGCGGCAGTTTGCAAAGATGCAGTGGAGCTTCACAGGACTCAGAGGATGCCTGTGTTAGCCTTCGCCCTCCAAGCATTGGTGGTATCATGTGATTTGGGGAGTCCCTAGTAGTGGGTGAAACCACCGCCCCCCAACTCCAAGCTGTCTGCAAGTTTACCCTTACTTCAACATTTAAAGAGATCGAAGGGAAAAGCTCTCTCAAGTACTTGATCTATGTAATGATTTGATGAGATCATTTAAAGCCTAAACCCTTACAATTCCAGGCTTTTTACATACTAAGACTAACTATTCTGTAACTACAGAGATCTCAAACTGAGACTTCTGAACTTGCAGTGAACGTGAACGTGCACTGCTTCAGTTATCTTCTCAGCTGTGTGGAAAGCCTGGCGTGATGATAAACAAGGTGGAACATGTTCAGAGAGTTCAATGTTGCCGTAACACATTCGGCATCTCAGTCTGGCTCTGAATCCACTCTGCACTCATCAGGGACTGTATAAAGGAATGTACATACATCATCTATACATACATCAACTAAACCGCTTATCCTTCTGGGTCGCGGTGGGGTGCTGGAGCCTATCCCAGCTGTCATTGGGCAGAAGGCAGGATACACCCTGGACAGGTCGCCAGTCCATCGCAGGGCAGACAGACAGACATACACACTCACACCTAGGGGCAATTTAGCACGTCCAATTGGCCTGAATACATGTTTTTAGGACTGTGGGAGGAAACCGGAGTACCCGGAGGAAACCCACACAGACACGGGGAGAACAGGCAAACTCCACACAGAATCGAACCCAGGCCATTCTTGCTGTGAGGCGACAGCGCTACCCACTGCGCCACCGTGCCGCCCATAAAGGAATGTGATATCTGATATAGTCAGTGTGCAAAATGCCCCCTGGTATCGACTGCTGACGCTTCAATGGTAACACAATGTCTGTTTTATCCATCGTTCTTCTGTAGAGTCTCTGTTCTAGTGCGGTTCTGCGCTCTTCCTCACAGTAACTGAGATCTTCCTCGTCTCCTCTTCTGTAGAGTCTCTGTTCTAGTGCGGTTCTGCGCTCTTCCTCACAGTAACTGAGATCTTCCTCGTCTCCTCTTCTGTAGAGTCTCTGTTCTAGTGCGGTTCTGCGCTCTTCCTCACAGTAACTGAGATCTTCCTCGTCTCCTCTTCTGTAGAGTCTCTGTTCTAGTGCGGTTCTGTGCTCTTCCTCACAGTAACTGAGATCTTCCTCGTCTCCTCTTCTGTAGAGTCTCTGTTCTAGTGCGGTTCTGCGCTCCTCCTCACAGTAACTGAGATCTTCCTCGTCTCCTCTTCTGTAGAGTCTCTGTTCTAGTGCGGTTCTGTGCTCTTCCTCACAGTAACTGAGATCTTCCTCGTCTCCTCTTCTGTCTTCAGTGTGAGAAATGAGGAACAGTCACTCTTCACTCCAAACTCTTGGGAAACTGGGCGAGTTTTCAGATTTACAGATCTGCTGCAGCTCATTGTAAAGTTTTTCAGAGGAATTCGGGCAGAGTTACAGTTTCTAGGCTATGAAGGACCAACTGGGTGAACCAGTCTGCTACAGCGCCACCCTGAGGCAGAGCAGTGCTGCAGCTCTAGTTAGTTAAGAACACCAAAGACTAAAGCTGATAAACAGTGAGCTTCATTCTGGATTTGAGCATCATAATGAGCTTGTTTGAGACATTCAGGTGGTCCAAGACATCAATTAGCGCCCCAAAATTATCTAATGTATCTCATTTTGAGATTGTTGTAGCCTTTTTAATAGATTACTTATTTTATTTCTAGACATTAGTATGTCACATGATCTCACTGTATTGGCAGATGATTTTGCTTGTTGTAAGAAATTTGCTTGAAAATGATCTTCCAATATATTGAGATAATTTTCACTACCTAATGTCACTTTAAACAAGGGAAAAATATCTGTAAACTTAAATAATCTTACAATAAGGTTACAACAATCCCAAAATGAGAAATATTAAATATATTGGTTAGATGGAGGATAGTTTCACTTGTCTAGATATCATTTTTGCAGTGTGCTGGAACAAAAACTTTCTCCAAAAAGATAACTTTTCAGGAGAGGAAGAAAACTTTCTTAACTTGTAATGAAAGTCAATGGAGAAGTTAATTGATACAAGTCGTTCTGGGCCATTTCTATCGGTCTATTCATCATGACAAATTTGAAACTATGTAAATGGCAGCTGGCAATTTCAAATCATGTGAAAAAATGAAAATAACAAAAATGGAGTTGCGAGACTTTGTCCCAACAGCAACGCTATGTTTTGAATGCTGGTATGCTGTTTTTGACTTGTGAAATATGCCAGTGGCTCAGTAAAATACAGCAGTCAGTGAGTGAAATATGAACTTTTGAAATGCATATGGGCTTTGAGTGACCTAAAAAATGTATTAATTACTCAAAGAACTGGCACTTAAACACACCAGGAGGTACGTTAGCATGTCCAGATCATTACTCCACTCTTTGTGTGGGACTTTTTATAGATCCACACAGTCAACAAGGCTGATTTCATCCATACTCTGTTGTTTGGCCTTCCTCTGGAGTTGGTTAAGATGAACTCCCTTCACGATTTCTTGTTAAAATTGAAAAAAGCAGCATAACAGAGTCAGGAGGATCTTGTTTAGAATCCTTATTTTGGTCGAGGTTGAAATTTCAAACAGAGCTCATAACGTTGGCAGTAATGACACTGAATATAACCTGTTTAAAAGGGCTGTTGTTACTGCCATCAGACTGAACACAGCATGTTGACACGTGGGGAGTTCCGCAACAGGGCCTATGCTGTGTGTGCTGGCCAGGACTGCACATGCCCAGGGACATGGCCTGAGTTAGTGGGTCACCAAAACAGTCAACCTCTAAAGGGTGGGCTATGTGGCGGCCGGCTACTGGCTCGCACTGCCTCCTGGGGCTCGTGAAGCATGGAGGCTCATGGTGGGTTCACACCCGTCTAAAAAGGACTGTTTATTGTTGTTTATGTTGTTATTGTTGCTTTAGTTTAAGTTGTGGGTATGTTTCGGTTGGGTTATCTTGTGCCTGGGGTGAGGGTTTTTTGTGTATGGAGTCACCGTAAGGATGAAGCTTGTGGCTTCTGGTGACCACCCCAGTGGGTTTGTGCTTCTCTATGTGCCTTTCTACTGGTGTTTCGATATAAGAGCGCTTCTTGCAGCAGAATCATGGCCTCCCTGTGTCTTACTCTACGCCAATGCTAGAATACAGATATGTGTGGGGCACCATTTGCAAAGTCAAGCAGAAAAACTGATCCAAACCCATCGTTTTATCACCTGCTCGCTGCATATCACAGAAGAGCTTTTTGGCTATTTCTCCTGTGTAGAATTCTTCTGGTCCATTCTCTGCTATCTCCTCCAGGGTATCGGCAAGTTTCTCAAATTTCATAGTGTCCCCTTCCTTCAGCATCCTTCCCTGTTCGTCCTCGAACAACTGACTGAGAAAAAGATACAAAGGGGGAGAGAAATTTCACAAGCATGATTACTGGAGTTGGACCTTTTCTGAGTGACCTACGGTCTGTAGGGCTGTTATACTATACTATATTATACTACCGTAGTATATTATGAATACAGGACATACATTCTGTATTTCCTGAGATCACATAAGAAAAACCACCCCAGTTACCATTACTGATTTGAGCATATCTGTAAATACTCTATATAGCCTAATTACTTAAATATCACATTCTTGCTGAAGTTTTTATGTTATCACAACATGCATGTTCGTATATACAGAAGTATATGTAGTTGAATGTATTGGTGGCTTTATGGTTAAGTGAGTTTTTATGTGCCCCCGTTTGTGAGTATGTCAGTGTATCATTCAGTGTTGTGAAATACCGTGCACCGCGATTTTTGATGTTATCTAGATAACGCGCAACTATTTCGGACATTTTGACCCCCTCTCTGGCCAGGCGGATGGTGGGCTGGAACAGACGGGACCAGGGCAGACGACCGTACAGCCTGTGAACACGCTCATAACCACGGATCTCACCGGGAACACCCATCCAATTAATACCTCCTACACAGAGAGAAAGAGAGAGCGTTCTGTAAATCACAGAGTGGTGAGCACATGTATGTTGTGAGGCTTTAGAATGAGCTTTTACTCAGTTGCATTAATGAAGTTACATGGCATGGAAACAAGCTTGTGCACAGACATTTTGTGAGGCAGGAGAAAAATCTAACAAACATGAGCAGTGCTTAAAGTGGTAGTTCAATGTTAACCCAATGTAGTTGATTATCATACATGTTTGGTGTCTGAAGTTCTTTAATATTAGCACTGAAGTTACATAGATAATGTAGCTAACAAGTAATGATTTAGCCTCATACCGATGTTCAGTATTCAGTAATTTCTTATGTTGTTTCTAAAAAAAGTGCAGAGCTAAGCTAAACAGTTGTAACAGCCATCTTAAAACCTGCATCTGTACTGCACTTCTGGCAGAGCTAGGGGGAAACAAGGATGCTGAAACTAGGTAAGAGAGAGAAAAGGGCGAACTTGACCAGGGGAACTGTGACAGAACCCCTTCCCAACGTACTGTCTGTGTGCAAGAACAACCCCAGAGGTGGAGCCATATTTTGCAATGGAGGGGACAGAGGAGGGGCCTGGAACACAAACCCAGGACAAGATCAAGTAAGGGACAGGGGCCTGTACATGGACAGAGACAATGGGTGTGTCTCAAAACCTAGTGAGCCGCTGTCTACATAGGCAGCTGTCTAAGTAGGCAGCGTTCCAACCGTCATCTGTCCTTATAAGACAGATAAATGAGATGCTCTAGTTAGACAGCAGTGACGTTGCCGCTGGTTCCCGCCCACTGCACGAGACCGGCGTTTACTGACCTCAGCCGTCAGAATCACATTTAGCCAACATGGATCTGCTCTGACAGCTTATATAGCGATTTTAATTGTATTTGCTCTGAATGAAACAGCAAAATAGACCAGAGTTGTGGTCAAACGCGGAACGTATAGGTTATTTGTGCACCTTTATGACCAGAAAACAGTTCAATACCCCAGAAAATCAGAATAACTTATATTTGAAGATGACGTCGCTGCTTGGTGAAGCGCTTCTGCCATCTTCAAACAAAAGTTTGCGCCTCGCTGCATTGTGGGATTGCCTCAGCGGCTGAGGAAACATCCGATGCTCTCTCGATATTCGGCCAAAATGAGACCTCAGTAGGCAGCATGTTTGAGATATCTAAGAATTGGGACAGCCTTCTTGTCGGAAGCGCATATTGTGACGTAAAATGCCCAATGACAGGGATGGAAACTGGGACAGAGAAGAGGGCAGGACAGAGAGAGGGAGAGAGACAGTGACTGGGACAGAGACCATAACAAGGATTAGACTGGGACAGTGATGAGGCCAGGACAGAGACAGGGACAGGGAAGGAGATGATGACTGGGACAGGGACAGGGACTTGACAATGACAGGGATGGACACAGGAACAGAGATGAGGACTGGGAAATTTCACCTCCGCATTTGACCCATCCGTGCAGTGAAACACCACATACACACTAGTGAACACACACACACTAGCGGGCAGTGAGCACACTTGCCTGGAACGGTGGGCAGCCCTATCCACAGCACCTGTGACTGGGTAAGGTGCCTTGCTCAAAGGCACTTCAGTCACCTACTGTCATCTCAGGGGATCGAGCTGGCAACCTTCCGGTCACAGGACTTGTTCCCTAACCTCCAGCCCACGACTGCCCCCACTTTAGACAGGGACAGAGACGGGGACAGGACAGAGAGAGGGAGAGTGAGGAAGACCATGGCTGGGACAGAGACATTGGCAGGGATTGACAGGGACAGAGGTGGGAAAGGACAGAAAGGGAGCTGGAGATAGACCATGAGTGGGACAGATACAATGGCAAGGATTAGACAGGGACAGAGATAGGGACAGGACAGAGAGAGGGAGAGTGAGGAAGACCGTGACTGGGACAGAGACATTGGGAGGGATTGACAGGGACAGGACAGACCATTTCAATTCACATCACACTAAATGAGCCATAAGTTCTGCAGAAAAGGTTTCAGACTCCAGAAATCATTACAAATATTTTCCTGTATTTTTAAACTTTGAAAAACGGTTTAATTTGACCCACAACATGACAGGAGTCATGAAATGGCTAACTAGGGGAGCAGTTTGTGCTAAAGGGCTAACTAGGGGAGCAGTTTGTGCTAATGGGCTAACTAGCTTAGCAGTGTCCACTAACGGGCTAACTAGGGGAGCAGTTTGTGCTAAAGGGCTAACTAGGGGAGCAGTTTGTGCTAAAGGGCTAACTAGCCTAGCAGTGTCCACTAAAGGGCTAACTAGGGGAGCAGTTTGTGCTAAAGGGCTAACTAGGGGAGACGTTTGTGCTAATGGGCTAACTAGCCTAGCAGTGTCCACTAAAGGGCTAACTAGGGGAGCAGTTTGTGCTAACGGGCTAACTAGCCTAGCAGTGTCCACTAACAGGCTAACTAGCCTAGCAGTGTCCACTAATGGGCTAACTAGCCTAGCAGTGTCCACTAAAGGGCTTACTAGGGGAGCAATTTGTGCTAAAGGGCTAACTAGGGGAGCAGTGTCCACTAACGGGTTAACTAGCCTAGCAGTGTCCACTAACAGGCTAACTAGCCTAGCAGTGTCCACTAACGGGCTAACTAGCCTAGCAGTGTCCACTAAAGGGCTTACTAGGGGAGCAGTTTGTGCTAAAGGGCTAACTAGCTAGCAGTTGTCGCTAAAGGGCTAACTAGGGGAGCAGTTTGTGCTAAAGGGCTGACTAGGGGAGCAGTTTGTGCTAAAGAGCTAACTAGGGGAGCAGTGTCCACTAAAGGGCTAACTAGGGGAGCAGTTTGTGCTAAAGGGCTGACTAGGGGAGCAGTTTGTGCTAAAGGGCTAACTAGGGGAGCAGTTTGTGCTAAAGGGCTGACTAGGGGAGCAGTTTGTGCTAAAGGGCTAACTAGGGGAGCAGTTTGTGCTAAAGGGCTAACTAGGGGAGCAGTTTGTGCTAAAGGGCTGACTAGGGGAGCAGTTTGTGCTAAAGGGCTGACTAGGGGAGCAGTTTGTGCTAAAGGGCTAACTAGCCTAGCAGTGTCCACTAACGGGCTAACTAGCCTAGCAGTGTCCACTAAAGGGCTTACTAGGGGAGCAGTTTGTGCTAAAGGGCTAACTAGCCTAGCAGTGTCCACTAACGGGCTAACTAGCCTAGCAGTGTCCACTAAAGAGCTAACTAGGGGAGCAGTTTGTGCTAAAGGGCTAACTAGGGGAGCAGCAGCTCATGGGGCGCTCATTAATTTAATTAGTGATGTTACTACAGATGTTAGGGGAGCTTTGTTCACTAGTTCATCACTGTAGCTTTAATGTTCATCAGCTTTAACTAATTTGTTGATTGGTGAGTGTGATGGGAAGGTGAGTATGATGGGCTGTAGATGAGGGTGGAGGAGAAGCTGAGCTGATGTTTCACTGAACCTGAGGTCTGGCTGGCAGGGAAAGTGACAGCCTCATCCCAGCTAAAACCAGATGAGGGAAAAGTGGAGGATAGACTGGATTGATCTCTGGCAACTCGTACGGTAGAACCTTGTTATGGCGTATAAACAAACAACTGAACGTGAAAAACAAACCTGAGCGTGACGGAATCACTGTGTACAGCTTATGGGAAACCTATTAGACAAGAGTTCCCACATCACAGCCATATATGGCCGTTTACCTCCAATGCTACGCTGATAGGGAGGCATTCTGTGGGTAGAAACATGACAAGACTCATATATAAGGCTTTCATAACCCACAGAATGCAAAGGCCAGTCACGACATGTCGACTTAATTTAAACATTACCTTCTCACAGCAGAGGTATTTTCCACTTGTGTCAAAGCACATACACTAAATCAGCATCAGCAGCGTATTTATCTGATCTACAGCAGCGATTTGAGCTGAGCTGAACTCTCAGATCTTTAGGAACTGGTCAGTCAGTCCTGCTGAAGGTGAAGACTAAACATGGAGAGGCAGCGTTTAGATACTGTGCTGCTCTTAGATGGACCCACTGGACAGAGAGCATTAGAAGAGCTGGACGACACTGGACACTTTAAACCAGCCTGAAAACATTCGTGTTTTAGCAGCTTTCAGCTCAGCTTAAACACTGTTAGCTTGACCGCACTTCTGGAATTTAATAGCACTTTTTATTCAAATTTAATTTTTAAGTTGATTTTTAATTTCAAATTAATGTATTCTCTTTTAAAACCATTGTTTTAATAATGCATTAATTTCCTTTTTCCTTCAATTTGTTACTTTGTAAGTTTTAATAGAAATTATCTTCGTATTTTAACATCTGTAAAGCGCTTTGAATGACTGCAGTGTATGAAAGGTGGTATATTAATAAACTTGCCCTTCCTTGCCTGTACATACGTGTCTAAATAGTAATCTGATAATACTGTACGTGAAGTGTGAAGGTCATTAGTTGCGCTCCCACTGCAGATGAACAAAGCAGGTATTACCAAACAAAAACAAACCATCAGCTGTAGAAGAAAACTTTGAACTTGCTGCATCTGGACTGTCACCTACCTAAAACACATTTACAAAGATGGATTTACTCCTTGATCTTATCTTACATCTCTCTCTCTCTCTCTCTCTCTCTCTCTCTCTCTCTCTCTCTGCCTGTGTGTGTCTGTAACTGTGAGAGGCTGTTTAACTGTCAAATGAAGTATAAATAAATGTCTGATTCTGTGTGAAGTGATTATTCGGATTACCCAAGAAGTGTATCAAAGTAAGGAAAATCAGTGCTGGATAAACTGCTGCTGCTGCTGTTGATGATTTTAATGACATAAATGGTAGAAATGTTCTATACAGGTAACAGTGAATGTGTTTACTGTCTGTAGAGACTGACGTCTATGTGTAATTTTCAAGGAGCTAAAGGGCAGCAGGACTGTCACAAAAAATGACATTATTAACTGAGTTATCTCTCTGTTATTTGAATCCTAATCAAATCATCTTTATTTATATTTTATTTCTTTTAAGCCACATAAAAATAGACTTAATTTAATAATGTGCACAGCCTTGGAAAAAGAAGCCTTATATAATCATCTAATCATGAAATGCATGGAGTTTATTGCAAACCCTGACAGAAACAAACTGGTCAGTCTCAGCACTTAAAATGTACTTTTTTGTGTATAATATTATATTTTGCCTCAGTATACTTTGTACAGTTTGCAGCCAAATCAACTCAGAAATATTTTCAGATTGTGATCGCAGATGTATAAAAAAATAACACAAAGTAATTACTGAAGTAGTTTTCCAGTAAGCACCTTATTTACTCTTACTTGAGTAATTTCCTTTATTAACTGGAGTTATTCTTAAAATATAGAAGTGTATAATAAAACTATACATATATACATGTATAGATATATATATATATATATATATATATATATATATATATATATATACACCAAAAACTGGAGTGAAATATGGAATGAAATCTGACATCAAGGCACTTGCACCAGCTTGTTTTTTTGATGTGTGATATTAACCAATGTGGACGGCAGTGCGTCGCTATGACTGAGCGAGCACAAAATCTAGTAGCAGCAATCCTATGTAGTGAGGAGATAATAGTGAGGTCAATTCCATATAGTCAGATTTTCATCTTTCATTCCATAAATTCTTGTCATTCTTATTTCCTAAACAGCATACTATATATACTATTATATATATATATATATATATATATATATATATATACATACATGTATCGCTGTTGTCGGAACAAAACCTCGTATCTCCATTTTTGTCTCCATTTTTTCAGTTTTTGACATAATTTGAAAGTACCCATGGTCCTTTACATTGGGTGTAAATTTCATGATGAATGAACCAAAAGAAACGACCTAAAATTACTTGGAAAAACATTTGGTTTTATTGACTTAAATTAAAAGTAAAGTATGTTTTTCCTTCTCCTGTAAAGTTACCATTTTGGAGATACAAGGTTTTCTTCTGACAACAGCGATATATATATATATTGTATATATATATATGCACTCTACCTGAACACTTAACAATAGTAAAATTGCATTTGTGTGTAACTTTTTTAGACAACATTAAAAACAGCATAGTAGGTCTTATTATTATTATTAGTAGTATTTTTTTTTCTGTACTTCCAGTGATCAACAGTGTTTTACCTGTTTGACTGCATGTACAATCTGATGAAAGGTTTGGTCTGAAAGTCTTTGGAACCGTCTCTCTGGAGTTGATGATTTTCACTGTACCTAAAAATGCATAAAATTATATTATCTGATCAGACTTTCACTGGTGGAAAGATTCCTGCAGACGTCAAAAGTTTATCAAAATGGAAATGGATATTGATACACTTACTAAAACATAACAGCCTAAACATGTATTTAAAAATGACACAGCTCACAAATTTCTAGTGTTTTTTGCCGTCAGGTGAATAAATATGAGTATTTCTCAGTCCTCCTCACCGTTTTTTGACATTATAGTGAAAACAGATCCTCCTCCGATGCCCGTGCTCTGTGGGTTTACGACTGAGGTACATAACAGGGCAGCTATTGCAGCATCTGCTGCCGAGCCGCCTTCCTTTAGGATGTCTCTGAGAAACCGACAGCAAGACACATTTAAATTGATGGCAAATGAGAAATAAAAACAGCACAAAGAGCAACACTCACCGTCCGACCTCTGAGCACAGTCTGGAATCAGCAGCAACCACAGCTCTATATGGACTGACAACAGCTCTGTTTGAATGGTTTACAGTAATACTGATGATTATAATAAGTAAAACAAACAGCAACAGACTCAAGGTGCAGTAACAACAGAGTTTCTTCTGATTGGCCATGTCTGGATCTGAAAGCCAAGCCTCACACCTACAAATGAAGCAGTGATGCAGAGGGTGATATATATATATACATATATATATACACACATTAAACACTCCTTATTTCTCTGGATGGGTTGTTCCTGAACAAGTTCAGTCAAGTCAAGACATCTTTACATAGCGCTGTGTTAAACAGGCGTTGTCACTAAGCAGGATTGCAGACAATCCAGATCCAACCCCAGAGATAGTCACCGCGAGCAACAATGGCAAGAAAATCTCAGTAAGAGCGACAGGAAGAAACCTCGAGAGGAGCCAAAGGGGAACCCATCCTGCTCTGGTCAACACCAAATAGCAGAACAAGAACATGAGTAATATCAATAAAGCATAAAGAATTAAGATACAAGAGTAATTATACAGAAAAAAACAGCCTGTCATTGGACAGACGTATTTAGATTAACCAACACTCTTTAAAAGTGGTGCTTCAAGGGTTCTTTAGTAAATAAAATGGTTCTAAATAGAACCATAAACGCTGAAAGAACCCTTTGCATGATTAACGGGTTCTTCAGACTGATGGAGAATGTGCTACACAACAAAAAATAGTCTCTTGACAAGTGAAATGATCTCAAATCTAGTTGTATATCCAATATTTCTCCTGGTGAGATCGCTGAAGGTTATTTTTAGATTTTTAACTTATTTCCAAACATTTTTTAAGTTGTTTTAAGCAATTTTATTAAGTAAAATGATCTCACTGTAGTGGCAGATAGTTTTGCTTGTGTTAAGAAATGAGCTTGAAACCAGCAACACTATCTGCCAGTACAGTGAGAGAATTTCGCTTAATAAAATTACTTAGAAAAGGAAAAAATATCCAGAAATAAGCTAGATAATTTTATAATAAGTGCACAACCATCTCAAAATATGAAAAATGTTAGATTTATCAACTAGACTTAAGATCATTTCACTTGACAAGAGACCACTGTTTGCAGTGTGTAGGTGGTCCTATATGGAACCTTTTTGAAAACCATTCTATATAGCACCCAAAAGGGTTCTTCTATTGTTACAAGCTTGACACAGTGACAATAGAAGAACCCTTTTGGCTGCTACATAGAACCCCTTTTGAAAAGGTTCTATATAGAACCATTTATAGCACATTCATGCACATTTTCCATCAATCCAAAGAACCCATTAATCATGCAAAGGGTTCTTTTAGGGTTGGGTAACTGTATAGAACTATTTTCTTTACTAAAGAACCCTTGAAGCCCCATTTTTGAAAGAGTGAATGATAACCGACTGTTAGAGGCCTTTTAGAGTAACAATGAGAAACAGATCTATGAAGTGAATGAATCTATGAATCTATGAGAGTATTTTGTGAGGCACAACGGCCTCTTTTCCACTCTAGAGCCAAACGGTTCTCATGCAGTGTGTGAAATCCCCCCCTGGTATTCGGGGGTCCCTGCTAACTCTCTCTCCATAGCGGCGCTGATGCTTTAATGTCAGTAAATGTTTGTTTTATCAGCTGTTCTTCTGTAGAGTCTCTGTTCAGTTACTTCCTCACAGTAACTGAGATCTTCCTCGTCTCCTCTTCTGTAGAGTCTCTGTTCTAGTGCGGTTCTGCGCTCTTCCTCACATTAACTGAGATCTTCCTCGTCTCCTCTTCTGTAGAGTCTCTGTTCTAGCGCGGTTCTGCGCTCTTCCTCACATTAACTGAGATCTTCCTCGTCTCCTCTTCTGTAGAGTCTCTGTTCTAGTGCGGTTCTGCGCTCTTCCTCACATTAACTGAGATCTTCCTCGTCTCCTCTTCTGTAGAGTCTCTGTTCTAGTGCGGTTCTGCGCTCTTCCTCACACTAACTGAGATCTTCCTCGTCTCCTCTTCTGTCTTCAGTGTGAGAAATGAGGAACAGTCACTCTTCACTCCAAACTCTTGGGAAACTGGGCGAGTTTTCAGATTTACAGATCTGCTGCAGCTCATTGTAAAGCTTTTCAGAGGAATCTGGGCAGAGTTACAGTTTCTAGGCTATGAAGGACCAACTGGGTGATCCAGTCTGCTACAGCGCCACCCTGAGGCAGAGCAGTGCTGCAGCTCTAGTTAGTTACAAATACCAACAGGTGTGGACTCGTGAGACCGGTTTCTTTGTCCATCTGCTGTGCTGCTAAATCGGAACCAGGAAATACTGAAGAAAAACTACGCAAAAGAGTGGCTAACTGCTGTAACAAAAAAGAAAATAAATAATAAATAATGGTGTCGTATAGGAACTACCTTTCCTTCTACCTTCTTCCTCTGCTTTCACACACACAGACACATTGAAAAGGTAGTGCAGGCTGCCAGTCACACATTCGCTCCAAAACTCACGGGAGGATGGTGTGTAGTAAATCTGCAGTGGCAGACAGAAAAGGAAGTGTTGTTTGGAATGATTTCACACCGGTAAACAAATGGCCAAGTATGGTGAGTGTTGAATGTTGAGAGACAGTTAAACACTGTGGCAAACCCACAAACCTAATCACACACCTGAACATTAGCCACAGAACAGGATGTGCCAAGATGCCCCGGAGGCGCTTAGAAGAGAGTGAGGTAACACCGAAAGATTACTCAGCTGGAGCCGGAGTGAAGCGGAGCTCCCTGACTGAAGCGTTTGAGACAGACGGGCAGTGTTTAGGTACAAATGACCACAATAATAGGTCATTTTTTAACAGAGTGTACGAACCATTTCATGAAATGGGTGGTTTCTGAAAAGCCTCGTAGTGCCCTGTTCACAAACAACAAAGAAAATGGTTCTATGTAGAACCACGAACACTCAAAGAACCCTTTACATGATTAAAGGGTTCTTTGCATTGTGAAATGGTTCTCCAGATTGATGGAGAATGTGTCTCTCTACAGCACCAAAAAGGGTTTTTCTGTGGTTACGACATAAAGCTTGAACCATCTACAGCACATTCTCCATCAATCTAAGAACACTTTCATCATGCAAAGAACCCTTTAATCATGCAAAGGGTTCTTTGAGTTTTCGTGGTTCTACATAGAACCATTTTGTTTACTAAAGAACACTTGAAGAACCATCCTTTTTAAGACTATATTATAATTATCATGTGATCTCAAGATAACAAAGTTGTTATCTTGTGATACGAGTTAATTATCATGTGATCTCATAATAAAGTTGTTTTCTTAAGATAACAAGTTATTTATCATGTGATCTCAAGATAACAAATTTGTTTTCTTGTGATAACGAGGTAATTATCATGTGATCTCAAAATAAAGTTGTTTACTTAAGATAACAAGTTAATTATCATGTGATCTCAAGGTAACAAACCTGTTTTCTTTAGACAACAAGATAATTGTCAGGCGATCTCAAGACAACAAAGCTGTTTTCTTTAGATAATGAGTCATCATGTGATCTCAAGATAACAAAATCACAAGATAATTAACTCATTATCTCATGAAAACAAAGGCTCCAGCGGTTGTTGTCCTCGGTCCACTGAAATCCAACACATCACCGTGAGGTTGTCTGTCTCCTCTCAGTCCCTGAGCCTGTTCACCTGCTCGTTACTTGTGTTGGTCGACTGTTTGGGTCTGTGAATTGGTGTGAACCCACAGAGAACACAAAACAGTACAAAGTTCTTGAAGCTTTTGGACCTGCTCCTGGAGTTCAAAATACAATTAAGTTGTATGTTTAAAAGCATTTGACACTCTTCACTTAGTGTCTGTGGCCAAAAAGCTCATCTCCTTCCAAATAGTTTTTTCCCCAACTCTAATTGTGCTTCTGGAGATTTGGGGACTCCTGCAGGTGAAACTGTGGAACAACAATCCTTCTATACAGAAACAGAGCCTAAAATCTACATCCCCAAAGCTAGATATAAAAGATTTTTCAAAATTTCTACATAATTAATGGTTAATATGTAATCAGAGTGGTTTGGAGTGAAACGCTCTGTTCTAAATAAACTTACCGAGTCAGAACTGTTCACAGTGGTGGTGATAGGAACCAGACGTCCACCTCTAAAAGCTCCCTCACAGAAAGTTCCTACATGAAATGGTTATGAATTCACTGCCTGATGACTGAGACACTGTTTTATGATAGTTTAGAGAACTTAAACTCCATTCATGGTGGAGGGATACATGCAGGGCGCTGTGAGGCAAAATAGTCCCCAAAGAAAACTTATTATTTCAGATTTTCCACTATTTTCCATCATCGACATTCCATATAAACTCAGAAGACTCGTGTAGGTTCACTGGTGGTTCTGGATAGTAAATAAAATGTCTATATCTGTGTTGTAGTCATGGCGACCCCTGGTTCCTATCACCACCACTGTAAAGAAATTAGTAGTTAGGAAGTTTCTTTAATTTTTTTTTTAACTGTTTCACATTTAAAAAAAAATGGGAATGACACTGTTTACATCAATGATTGAATTACGCATAAATTTGGAAAAATGAGTGGTATTCCCCTTTAACTATCCAAATAACACTATAATATGTGCTGTTCAGAAACTGAGTAGTTCTTGTTCTATTTGATCTGAGCCTTAACTGTAAAGCTTAAAGACTCAGGGAACCTAAATCTGTTTTCTTTCTAATCAGGTTAATATGTTGCAGGTAAACAGTAAACATGTATGAAGTTCACCCTTTGAATAACGTTCCACTGACTAATAGATGACTGATATATTGTTTGTCTGTGACTTTTTTGCCCAGTTAGCTTCACATAAAAGCTGTAGGGGCAGAGCAGGCTAGGAGTGTTTGACAGAGAGCTGTCAATCAAGCTGCTCATTAGCCACACCCACATAGTTCTCAGATAGGTCTGATCAGCACCATTCAACAAATAGATAAAGTAACGTAACTTAATATGAGGAACTTTTCCCTGAATTTTTAAAATGTCGATGTTTAGTGTGTAAATGTGCAGACAGACAGAAAGAAGAGTCAGTATTGATCCACTCAGCACTGACGGCTTCAAACAGCTGAAAAACACTGCTGAGCTACTTTGTGTTTAATGCGAGGCTTATATTCTCTGACCCAAAACACTGGTACTTACTCTGGTAAAACTAATCCAGCTCAAATAAGGCCTTAAATAACTCCTTTCTTTTGGGCCAACATACTAGCATAATAATAAAAAGGAGGAGAAGAAGAAAAAAAGAAGAACTGCAACTAGAACAACAGGCCTTGACCCGTGCCAGGCCTACATCCTTTAACTGCAAATTATGGTAATTCAGTTAATTTGCATTTTAATTTAAAGTTCTTTAAAAGT